CATAGATGGTGAGAGCAGCATCTGAACACTGGCAGCTCTGTCTATAACCTCTACTGTCGTCTAACTCTCGGCCTACGCAATGCTGAGTCTTGGGACTGTGTTTATGTGCACGGCGAGGCAATACCCATCTTTAATACGGAGTTGACTAGAGAGATGGGTTCCAGTAAGTGTGGAGTTGGTATATGTAGAATAGCAACCTCATGCTACTGTCTTGGGGATTTATTACTTTTTTTATAATAAACCAGCCACAAGGCCACCCCAGCTGGAGTACATCTTGGAGTCACGTGGTTGACCTTAATTGGAAGGATGTCTTAGCACGACTTGTGTACAAACGGTGGGCTATACATAGTTGTACCCTTCTATTCCCCAATTTTAGCTATGGGGCCAAAGGAAATCCGGCCTTTGTACTTTATTTTGGCTGAAGATCGCTTCCTACCAGGCAGCTTAATAAGGAAGGCCACAGTCAGCGCTAGGCAAAAGGTGACTTTATATTCCATCCTAGGAAGCTTTCCTTCCTAAACTCTCAGATAAACGTTTTAAGGGCACTTTTTTGACATATTTTGGCCTTCGGTGATGTAACAATGCGGCCAAACAAGGTTGTCTCCCATTTTTTGTTCCATACTTGAGCACCCATGTCTAGAGGAGTCAATTTTCAAAAAGATTGCAATGTTTTAAACTTCCAGTCGGTACATCTTGGAACAAGCTATCTCCAAGTTGCAGTTGCCTTTTGTTGAAGGGCAAAGGAGAGTTTTGTAGTTGGTGATGGCATTAGAAATGTCCCCATCATGAAAAGAATGACATCTTTTGCATAATAGTTACCCATAGTATAGGGAATTGGGGAAAGTATTGCTTTTTCGCAGATAACAAGACCAGGCGATGTTTTTGTACTGAGGTAAGGGGCTACTAAGCCTTATAGAACTTCCACCGTCTTGAATCTCTTCTACTCTTAAAGCTAAAGTGGTTGCTTTTATCGCTATCTATGTAAGCCTTATGCATAATTCATAGCGTTCGCCTCCCAGATGAAAGATAACAGATGGGTTCAGCAAATATTTTGTTCATTGAAGCAACCACCACGAAAATTTGGGATTCTTTTCTAAAGAGACAGGTTTGAAAATTCCATTCTTATCAGGCGTTTCGTCCCCGGAAGCAGCCAACCTAGTCCTGGTCACCTTCTTTTTTATCTCACTTTTATTTCACGACCGTCTGTTCTGTTGCGTATCTGATTGCCTGCCTAATGTCGGGGAAGTGAGATATGAGGTGAACGCGGAGGGTGAGGGGCATCACCTTCTCTTTCTCTTACGTGAGAAGCTGTATAAAGTCAGAGGACTTGCATCTTGCATCGTGGTTGATCAGTTCTGACTGCTTTTGATGTTCGATCTTGTTGAGGGCCAGATATGGTGGACGACTGCGTCTACAAGATAAGCACGGTCGTCTAGGCATGCAATGGTGTACGCCTCATAAAGAGAAATAAGTGGATTGTTCAGGGATGATCAGTGATAGATTGATTCCCTCATTGAAAGTTGGAATCCTACGCAAAAGTTTTTCCCACCACTGGTACCTCAATCAGTCGGCAGATAGTCCTACCCAAACTATGCGTTTTCAAAAGTACGTGTAAATAGTTAAGGGCAACCAATTTATGGCCCTTGAGGCTTGTTGGCTGTCATCTGTCAACACACAAACTTTTTTGTCGCCTGATACGTACATGCTCAATCCACCGGGTGAAAGGATATTGCAATTCACTGTAGAACCGCCAAACTAAGCAGAGGTAGGTGGTTATTCTTCCCGAAGCCTGAGCACTACCTTTTCAAAATGCCAAACTTTGATATTTGAGTGGAGGGAGTGACCAAATAAGTCAAGTCAAATTGTTCCTTAAGTGAAAAATCGGGGAAAAAGCTGTCGGCTCCTGTTGATCGGTTTATTAATTAACTGCCATCATACAAATGATGTCTGTAAAATAGCTCACTTCACTCAATCCTCCAAAAGGTGCTTCTTTGATCCCCATCTCTTCGCATGGTGTCCAATGCTCCCAGTTGGCCAGAACGATGTAATGACGAATATACGGTTACTTGACCGACAGGACTACGACTAAGCTGTACGTCGCCACTCAAAGTACAGGTACTAGATTTGGACGTTTCGTTTTTCATTCATCCTACTCACTCGCTAGGCTACAGTTCAGCTGACTACTGCGTCTTCTGGATGTTTGACTACCTCTTGCAGGGTACAAGTATTACTCCATATTAATCTGTGTGCTTTCTCTATTGTGCCACAGTTTTCATCTTCTAGCCGTCTTCACTTCCAGTGGGTATTGAAAATACCCTCAAATTGTCATCAGTAGTGCAGGAGTTGTCGCTAGCTAATTGGACTTACTATTGTTCGTAGCACAACAAAAGAGTAAGTCAACCGAAGAATACTGTTTCCAATCTACTAAGCTAACACTGTTCCTTTTTACTTTTGCTACATCACACTTGAGGGGCTTGGATACTGCAAGCTGAATGCGGGTCCCCTCTCTCCGCTCATTTGCAATGCGAGGAGGACAGAGCCGCGAGTACTTTTCAACCCTTCGAGTAGTGTAACATGCAGAAGTACTTCGTGAAACCTGTCATCTTCCTCAAACGCACTGGTCATTGTACTAGCGCATGTAGGGCTGCTCCTACTTCCTCTTGTAGAAAATAGCCACCTGCACTGGCTATCTTGACAACTAGAGGTGGAGTATTATCTATGATATGTATATGAATTGGCTTGGTATCTAGATTTCATCTTTAAGACCGCACAAAATGAGCCGAAAAGTTTGCGTGTAAAGGTCATATTGAAGACATTCTTTTTGGATTTGCAATAATTTCCCAGCTCACTATGACTTTCCTCAAAGTCAAACGGGTGATGCAGCCCTCAATGTTTCCTTTTGAAGATGAAACCTTTTTTCGTGTAAGGAAAGTTTGAGCCGATAGTGTAAATTTGAATCCGTAAGTCTTGTATTATTATGCATCACGGATTCCTTTTGACCGATCATGTTGCCAGTAGATGCTACTAATAATCCTATAGTAGCATTATTGAACTGAAATACGGTGGGAAATTCTACAGGGCTTTTGAATTTGCTGCTTTCCAAGCTACTTACTATATTTGCTAATATCAAAAGCAGATTAGTTCGAATTTGATGCCTCATCGGACCGTCCTCACTACCGGTTGACCGCAATAGCATCGTTGAAAAAACGTTAGGGTTTCTGTTAGTTACGTCTCCTACGAGTAACCCAGTTGCGGCGCACCTACATTCGATGAAGGCACATATCAAAATCGTAACACTTCAGCGATAACTTTAATTTCAGGCCTTCCTAACAATGGTCTTGAGTGGGCTCAACTTAAAATCTGTGGGGGATTCTTGGCGTTTCCTGTTTCTGATTCATGTAAATTGTTCAAGCATTGTAAGGAGGTCTTTACTTACTCTGAGATTAGCTCGTTCCTGGGGATCTGCAGGCTATGTACTCTTCCACTGTGACTTTTTGATACTGAACCCTTTCGAGGGAAGTTCAAACTTCTCACTCTCTGTTACCGAGTCCTCAAAGAATTGATTAGCGAAGGTATATTCGACTGCCTTCATACCTGGATACAAAAGAAATTCGAGTAACGCTTACACACTCTCACGTTACTGGATATAAGTTAATCCTACCTCTTCTGTACAATGGTAGACACTGCAGTTGACAGTACCTTGGCAATTTTATCTATTTCTTGACTCCTTACGGATCTAGAGAACCCACCAATCACTATCCAATACCAGTTACCACGTCATTGTAAGTAACATGTTATTTCACACCGGCACATAATGACCTAAGGGAGAGAGGGAGGTTAGGCCCCTTCTGGTCCGCGTTTCCGGTGCGTACGTGGGCCTGTCCAATAAGCGCAGCAGTCCCTATGGCTACCTCTTGTGTGAGTCACTGAGCAGTGGCCAATGCTGAACGCGTATGGGCGTTGACAGGAGGGACAGGTTTCTCTCACCCAAGCGTCTGCCTTCATAGGCTAGTGAAATATTTACACTCACTCTCACCTGACCACAATACCCTACCTTCTGCCACTGAGAGTGCATAATACACAGTACAAAATATACTAACGACGTGTGATTACTCCCATCCCCCTTGGACCCACTCAGTAATTCCTATTCCGGAATCATGGATTCTGTTGTTGACCTGACTGGTGAGTTCCTCAGGCCGAGAGAAGACAAGTGCTCAGATTGGGGAAAGGAACGCTAATCCCCTCATTTTTCTTCTTTTTTGAATTGAAATAATTGAGCATTTTTTTGCTGCTTTAACAGAGGAACAGGAGCGTATACAAAAGAAGACATTCACGAACTGGATCAACACTTATCTAGCAAAGGTACGCGCTTACTTTAAATCTAGTATTGTCAATTGCGTTATTAATGACGTTTGATACTTCTCTGGTGGAACTACTGTTGAAAAGATACTCTTTTTTGCATCACCCTAGGCGATCCCTCCCGACTGCATCCACGATCTCTTTGTCGACATTCGAGATGGCGTTAAGTTGGTGCGGCTGCTTGAAGTGTTGGCTGGTGTCCGTCTGGTGAGTTAGTTGAGCAAGAACTTCCTTCTTGACGAAAAAAAAAACAGAAGCTATGTTTCTAAGAGCATTTAAGAAGTCTGGTGATCAAGTAGCTGCAAACTAGTTTGAATTCCTGGTTACCATTGCCCCATGCTATTTCCCATTACTGGTCGTTTAATTCTATCTTTCACAAGAAATTTTGCAGTTTTAAAGTGCTTCTAAAATATTTTTGCAATTTTTTAACTTCCTCTGTTTAAGAGGAAGTCAGAGAATAAAAAATTACATAATCCACCGTACCATGAAATAGCGCTAAAATAGGGGAAGAACTCTTATCAGGATCCGCCCTAAAAGTTAATTTTACACACCCATGAGCAATGAAAGGCACCATCAAATGCTCCATTTTTGGCACTGAAAGCGTAAAATTTTGCCTCTTTTTTATTCTCCCACTGGTAGCCCATTGAAAGACCGACAGCGATGCAACGAGCACACTATCTGAGCAATGTCGGGACGGCCCTAGACTTTTTGACAGGGAAGAGAAAGGTAGGTTTACAAATATTTCTGACTAAGGCGGTGTCAGTTTTTAAGAAACCTAACCTCCGTGCCTCCACAGATCAAGTTGGTGAATATCAACCCCTCCGACGTTGTCGACGGTCGACCGGCCATCGTTTTGGGTCTCATTTGGTCGATTATTCTATCCTTTAATGTAAGGAGTTAGTTGCCCAAGATCTTTGGCTCTTTATACCTCACAAATTTGGCTACTTTTACCCTTCTCTCCTACTGTTAGATTGATGAGCATAATGAGGCACTTAACGTTGCAACGGGGGTCGCAGAGGTGACGAAAAAGGATCAAACAGTATCTGCAACTCCTTCCCCTAGGACCACCACACAGGGCAAGACGCCACCCGTGGCTCCAGTGGCTCGCAAGAAGGCGCTGCTTGCTTGGATCTGTCGCTGCGTCTCTCCCAGTTTCAGGTGCTTAAATTTTGCACGCATCTGTACAAATCGAATCCAGGTGGTGGTCAAGACTGTCTGGGGTGATGGTGGCTCCTTCTTTTAATGGCCTCAGATCTTTGGGTACATATTTCAAACAAGTATTAGAGTAGTGCTGGTTGGCTGTTAGGCAGATGCTAAAAATAATGCTACTATGCTGGTGTTTGTTTGGTATAACCTAGTAATCAAATTGTGTCGGGAATATTTGGGAAAGAAAAAGAATCGAAGAGTACCGTAAACAATTGTATGCATTTTGCAAGTTCCTATAACTTACAACAAATCAACGCCGAGAGTTACTTTGAAAACTGTCCGAATTCTTTTGATCTCCTGACATAACTTTTCTCGTTGCTCAAAGTGTTATTTATCGTGAATATTATTTAACTGAGCCACATCTAAGATCGTGACCTCAAACTATCAAGTCTTTATTCCAGGTCGTTGGGCTTGCAAATCAAGGATTTTGGTCCCAGCTGGCGCGACGGCCGTGCATTTTGCGCCCTCGTACACAGCGTTGAGGCAGAGAGTTTGGATCTGAGCAAGATTCGACCCAAAGACAATAAGGCGAATCTAAAGCTCGCTTTCAATGCAGCTGAGCAATGCCTCGGCATTCCACAACTACTCGATGTAGAAGGTCTGATTCACACTTGCCATTTATATGGGAACCCTTTCGATCAGAGGAGAATTGGGCATTTGGTTTATTTTTCCCGCAGATGTGGATGTTGATAACCCGGATGAGCGCTCGGTAATGACATATGTTGCACAGTTTCTCAAGGAATATCCAAATGGCAAGAAAACGGTAGGTAGTAAATCGTCTCCGCTGCTACTTTGTGTACCAAGCGCATGTAATTGTCAGCATTGGATTGGATTGGTTTTCTTCATCTATATAGCTTGATAAATACCGGTTCGCTACAACTTAATAAAAAAATTAAGATCCGTCTTAGAGGTGTTTTTTAGTTTGCCGATCTGTTTAAAGACTAAACTTGTGAATCAAAAGCTGGGTGGTCGTTCTGGTGGTGGTGTGGCATCAGCCAAGTCTTTCGAGACTTCTTTGGACGCTGTCGATTCTGCCATCGACCCTTCTCTGGTGCTCAGTGCTTCCACCGTCTCCCTCCACAACCCCAAATCCACCCGGAAGGAACGCGTTACTACCCCTACTCTACTAGACGACGAGGGCATTCGTAGCCTACTGGCGGCCACGAGTTCTAGCCTCACCGCTTCTGATGAGGAGGTAGTGACGAACCCAGATGCGGCGCATTCCATGCCCAACATCAGAGCCATGTCTCTAACCTCGCCCCGCCGGCAGGCCAGAGCTCGAACCTACGCCGACCTGCGGCTGGCCCGGGTGGCGAAAACGTTTTCACGATGTCGTGCCATCGCCAACATTCGAGTCACTGCGGATCGCACGGAGGAGACAAAAAATGCGGTCAAGATTATTCACATTGAAAATCAGGTGAGTGGAAATGGATGAGGGTTTGGCTATGGGTTCCATGACGGTGATGGTGATAAATTTTTTCCTCATAAATATAGATAAAGGATTCGAATGCACAGGCTGAGGAAGAGCGCAACTTCGTCATTTACATAAAAGAGCTGATCTCAAGGATAAGACATGAACCTTTGGAGCCGAAGGATCTGTTGCAAGCGCTTGAGGTAATTGTTTTAAAAATGTGTAGAGTTGTTAGGTTTTGTGGGAGATATCGATGAAATCAAGTTAAGGGAAATTCGCTGTGGAAGTGAAGTCACACCAGATATACCACACAATGAGAAAGCTTACAATCAGAGCCTAATTTCATCGTTAAAGAATTTTCATTCTTTTGATTACAATTCCTTTCAAATAGGAATTCTACCAAGCCGAGCAGCAGCACCAAAGCCTGACGACATGTCTAGTGGAGATGGGCAAGCGGAAGCGTCAAGGCCTCCTACTTGGCATCTTGCCATCAGAATTGGCGGGAATTGAGGCTAAGTGGACACAAGTGAAACCAGCATTGGACGAGTGGCGTTGGCGTTTGGACGATTCTTTGCCTGGCGACTGGGCAACGGTGGGTCGGTGGCTGGGCCAGCTGGAGCGCTGTCTCAGCACCGCCGCTCGCCTTGCCATCGAACTGGATGCTGCGAGCACCTCTGAGGCCGACGCGACTACTCGGTGCTCACAATTCGCTGCACAGTTGCATGATCTTGAGGCGAGTCACATTGGTTTTTTGCTTAATGTTAACTCCTATGCCTACTGAGAGAAAAGCGATAAACTCGATTTACACGGGAATTTGTTCAGTGTCTATAAGAGTGGCTAGTCAGCTGGCTAAAGGTCGGATGGATGCAAGACACAGCAGACGGAATTTCCGAGTTTAATCTCCTTAGACATCTTGCGGAACAGAGTCGTTTACTCGGTATTAGTCTATTGAGTACCGTCCTGTAGGAAAATTAGTTACCTGTTGGTACCAAACAATCTCATCTACTGTCAAGGGGTGGCTGAATTCCACGCAGCTGCATTAACAGGGCATCACCAAACACTTATGGGTTATTGAGACCGTTGTCGTTAACTAAATTTATTACTAGCATGCAGAGGGACTGGTAGGCTATGGAAATGGTGAGATTTCCACGACAAAAGTCGGTAGTAGAACTTGCAGGCATTGAGGAGTCCCGGTAGTTAAGTAGATGGTTAGACGAAGGCTATCTTCCTACTGAAGTACTCATGGCACTGGTTTCTTTTCCTTACAGGAGAAGCTGAAGGATAAAGACAGAATGTCCGAGTTGTTGGGTTTGCTAGTTAAGACTAACACAGCGAACGAGCCCTCAGCCCTTCCCATCACCGTAGTGAACGCTATTAAGAAGCGCTTTCACGACGTCTGTCATGAGGCACAGGCCAGTCTTCGTCGCACTAATCGCCTTTATCTGCGCTGGAAATTAGCCGACAACATCACTGAGATTGTCGATTATATCAATGTCCTAAAAAACACGCGATATCAAAAGTTGGAGGAGGCTGCAGAGAGCATGGAGCAGATTCAAGTGAGTTAGGCCGCTTTCTTCCACTATTTCTTGACTGAATGGAATGGGTTGGCAGCTAGCGCGTTTTCTCTTCCCTCTTTCCTACTTCAGGAGTGGAAGAAGAGTAAAGGGCTACCGCAGAGAATGGATGAGGATATTGCAGCATTGGAGGAGCTTTGTAAGGAATCGGAGGACAAATCAAACAGTGAGTCTGCGACCTCGGTGGGTGAGCAGCCAGGATCGGGTCTGCTGACGATCCAGGTCAAGGCCGGGGGGGGAACGTTGATCATGCGCGATGTGGCCGAGACAGAGCGCATTGAAGCCAGTATGTATCTCTCCTCTCTCCGGATGCGATGGGCTGAGGCGTTGGAGGATCTTCTGGCACTAGAAAAGTCCTCAATGAAGCTGGTGGAAACGTGGCGTGCCTATGAAACGGTAACCAGAATGGTTCTTAAGTATTCATGATGCTTATCAGCAAATATGAACCAGATAGCTTAAGAATGCATAGACCAACAAGCAAAATATACAGAGGAGTCTAGAATAGTACTGCTTAGAGCTATAGAAATGGAAGATATTATCGGAATGAGTGAGAAACCAGGCCAGATGACGAAAGACCTGTTTTGTCCGATTTCAAAATTTCCAACCTTGCAGGAGGCGCAGACGCTCCACGCGTGGATGCAGGAGGCAGAATCGAAGCTTAAAGAGAAAACCATCTCCAACACCGAGAAGCGCTTCATTCTCGCCCAAGCGAAGCAGTGGCGTCAGCGGCTGAACGCCCTACAGGATTTGGGTGCCAAACTCATCGGACAGTCGACCATCCCCGCTGGTGAGGCTATCAACACTCAGTTGGTCAGCATGTTGCAGCGACTTGACAGCATCTCCAATGAGGTATTGCCATTTAACTCCTTCATGAGCTTGATTGATTACTTCCGTATCAACGGAGACACTCCTGAAGACAATACGAGACATGCTGGTCTTGAATTAGTATAGTATTATCATTGCGCAGATGATCCTGTGGAGGATATTACTTAGTAACCGGAGGCTGAAAAGGTTCACTTAGTTTAATAGAAAACTAAAATAAATATCACCCCATTACATCGTCTCTAGTACTCCTCGCGATCATTCTGTTGTTTTAGTCCTCTGATACAGGGACGAAGATCATGCAAAGATCATCGTTGTGTACCTGCATTTGAGAGAGACCGGTTTTGAAGTTGGGGTCGGAGAAAAGGCCAAGTTCTGCAGCAAATACACCCTGTATATCACTCACTTTCTGCAGAAATGGTTAGTTGGGAGGAAAATGAGGGATATCCTACCCTTAATTCACAATCATAGGTCACCGTGTCCATGGAAACCTCACGGTCATTTCTTCAAGGCGACTTCCATTCGTCCACATCTGGTCTTGCCTTGCTACTAATCATTATGTGGGAATTAAGTGAGGAGAGGGTGGCAAAAATAGGCGAGATTTGGATGGTTCTTCTATTGTTAATCCTGTAGGCTCACCCATCCTTGATAGATATCCTCCTCTGGTGGTTTGACGCGTTATTCTGTCAGGGATGATTAGGACTTGCTAGAGTGGATTCTTCAGCTCCTTCAAATTATCTTCAAAGTCTGTAAATGGCTTTGGACTATTAGCTCCGATGACATGAGTCCAGACCTCACCGTCATCATGAAGGTCGATATGAGGGAGACTGAAGAGACCTCATTTATAAGTTTAACTATAGCGAAAAATATTCCACTATATATCCTCTCAAATATAGATTTGCTTTGTAGTTACTTTATATAAAAGCGATTGCTTTTATGCCGGGCAATATCGAGGAACCCTAGGCGGTTAGATGACGGCAAAAGTTGTTTATCATATCCTGTGGGAGACGATGAAATGTGTGGAAAGTGCGTTGCATACCCAGTGACACACTGGGTTGTTAAACTGAATTTCTGTTTGTAAAAGTGGAATGAGGAAATTCTCTCTCCAAAAGGGCCAATAATTCAGTCCCATTCACTGGCTACGGCTTTTCTATTACAAGTTTCGTCATCATTTTTCCATGCGCTCGCTACTTACATCCGACATATTCGAATGACTAAAACTTGTGAACTAGTCTTGTATTATCACAGCTAAGCCGGTCATTGGGCACCGAATGAATCTTCACCAGATTTGACCATTCAATGAACAGGCATTGAAAGAGATCTATTTTCAATTTCAGGGGTTTAGGAGATACCTTTTTGCCGGGACAAGAGGGGAAGACGTGTCTCCTCTGACGCCTATTCCACTATTTATGAGGTTTCCATTTGTACTTGCAGGTCGAGAAGTCGTACCAAGCTGCGACTGTCGAGACATTGAAAGGAGACTTGGATCAAACACTAAATCGTATGAACGAAATGCTTCAGGCAGCTACAGATTTGCTGAATAGGGAGGTCTGCCTTCCACAGACTACCAGCATGCAGAAGGCTGAGGAGGCCACATCAGAGTATCGAAACCAACTTCAGACTACCAAGGAGGACCTTCTGAATCATCTCGAGACTGAGTACAATGTAAGAGACAATCGACTTGTATTGCTCCTATGGCTGGTGGCTACACACGCTACTTAGATAGCTGAAATTGATGAGTGAAGATACAATTTCGGGTTTCGCATTATATGTTTTTGTTCCGTTAGTTTTATAATTGGCCATTGAAAGAAATCCACCTTGGAATGAGTTAATATTGATGCTTTAAACCGGTAAGAATAAAAGGTCTAGAATACTACTTAAATGACCACTTTTATGAACAAAAACCCAGACATTAACTCATCAAATAGATGAAAAGCCTGTTTGCCGTTGATTTCAGATTGAGAAGGAGGTATTCTCTGCGCTAATGACATCTAAGACCACTGAAATGAATGTTGGGATTGCTTATGAAAGGAAGGTTGTGGCGTTCGCAGTTTCATCTGTCTCTGTTATTCTCATCTAGTGAACATTAGGGGCGGTCACCAAAAGAATGGGAGGTCTGGTTAGCAATGGATGTTGTAAGCTTTGATTGCACCAAAGACCGCGAGCACAAGAGTTGTATTCTTATTTTTAATGTTCTCATTTACCCGACCTTACTACCAGGATTATATATGGGGTGCGTCTCGCTTTTCTCGTCTGATCTCGATATCACGATTTTGAGCAAATGTTGATGTTACACCGGAAAAAGTAGACATCTGAGCTGTGGCGATTGTTTTTCTTCTGAAACCTTGATAGCGAATGTGATGGTGTTCCAAAGCCTTTAACCACGGAGAAGTGAGGGGTTACTACTGCTCCTTTCAGATGGCAAAGGAGCTCTCTGAAAAACTTATGGCAGCTGCCCAGGAAGGTGAAATCGACTACTCGGAGGTAGAGCGGTGTATGCAGGAGACGGATCGTCTTCGACGTTTGTTGCAGCAGATGGCAGAGGAGAAGATCGACGATCGCCTCTCCGAGTTGGCTCTGGCGATGCGCGAGGCCGTCTCGGTGGCTGTGAGACTTGCTCAGATGTCTGAGTGGATTGAGGAGACCGAGACAGTGACCAATGCCAACTCCTTCACAACTCTTGATGAGATTATGCTTGATAGTCTCGCCAGTATTGCTCCTGATGAGGCGATTCACCGACTCCAGGTTACATGGTGTCTCTTACCTCTGTTGTTTTGCCTTCTGTTTTTGCAGAAAATGAGCACTTTGTTGTCACTCGTTCTACAAAAAACCACCACCAGATATTAAACACTACAAAACACTTTTCATTTACTTCTACTTGCATACTAGAAATGCTGCGACAGCATAATTACACACACGAAGGCACTTGAAGAGGCGGAAGGATGGCTGGAGGAGTTAAAGGCGAAAGGCTTGAAGTCCGTCAACATCTCCCAACTCGAAATGGCCATCGCGGAGACCAAAGGCCGCATAAACGTGAGTTCACTCAAATCTTAACTTCTGATTCAACAGAGCGCTGAAGTGGCAGCTCTTAAGGAGGGCCAATAGGTGAGCTCTGAGAGGGATTATATTTTATCAGATAAGCTAAGAACTAGACTGAATAGGCTGGGTGATTGTCTCTTTAAGCAATCGCTTTTCAGACAATGTTCAAATATGGTATACGGAAATAGGCGATTACTCAGTTGATGCACCGCTATCAAATAAATGTGATGATATTTTTAGATAATGCTAGAGCAAACACGAAAACGTGAACAGCTTCTACGGGCCCAAATACAGACACAGGGAAAGACGATGGAAGTAGCCAACACCCTGGAGACATGGTTACGTGAAGCGGAGGGAGTAATCACCACCTCTCAGGAGAGCATGCTACCTTTGAATGCCAAGACCATTGCAGACGCCTCTCGTCTCACTCAGTGGAGCCTAGACCGACTAGAACAACAGCGTAACGCCCACGAAGCCTTCTGCGAAGAGCGCTTGGCTCAGGGCGCAGAGCTGCTTAGTCGCATGGACGAGTGCTTCCAAAGCTTTACTGAGGTTTGGCCTGAGGTCGCCATTGTTCAGGGTTCCTCTTCTGACTCGGAGATGGTGGCTTGTGCTCGAGAAGTCGTTTCTCGTGTGAAGCTTCTTAAACAACGGTACAGCGTGAGTTGCTCGCTACTTAAATCCACTTCAATAGAAATCAAGGTTTCTGATAAATTGATCAACGTGTGCATTGATTCCCGCCCGTAGAAGAGGTGGATGGATGTTATACTAGTTTTGACAATTTGAAATGTCAGTTGATGGGAATTTCGTTGCAATTACTGACAAACCAGGTTAAAGTGTTCACTTGGTTGATGTAGGATGCCACTGCGCGATTACCTCGGTCTCTGCTGGCCGTTAGATTCGTGATAATCGACATGAAGATAGGCGAAAAGTTGATGGAGGCATCGGAACACCTGAGACAGGAAGAATTGCGCATCGAAAGTGGGGAGGAGGTATCCCTCATTCTCAGTGAGCACGAGGTGAGTTGAGGGACTGCCGCGTCCACCCTCCGCCAATTTTGCTAACCAGTAAGGCGTGCATTTTTATTTCACGGCACATTTTTTGCTGTGAAAGTGCAAGTATTTTTTTGTGCCATCGTACACTCACCGGAAGAGGTGGACATTATCCTCAACCCTTTTGCAGCCCAAATTTGAGTGTCAATGTGCAAGCGTCGTAACAATTTTGAATGGCTTTACACCAAAGGAAAATTTTATGTGTTTATTTTATAAAACGTAAAGGCATTATGCCAGAGGGTTTGAACGTTAAACATGGGGTTTCTGTTCAGGCAACAAATAGCCAATAATTAATGGATGTTACAAAACTAGCAATTAACATGTACAAGCGCTTTTTTATTCCATTTTTTGAGACAAGGTATATCAGTAACTCTGAATCATATTTTAATAACATCGTCAATTTGAGTGGTGATGTAACAAATGCACAACACCAAAAGCAAAAGGATGAAATGGGACATAAAATGTATCGCTGGCATGCGGAAGGGCTGAAGGGCTACTGACATGGTCCGGAGGCCATGCCGCTCAGCGGAAGCACAAAGGCGGAGCCTTCGGTGCCCGCAAAACTAAGAAGAAGAGCTAACCGAAACGCAAAAGTATTAAATAGGACCCTCTTCTTTTGAGCGTCGTCCCTGGCGCTCCCTTTGTTTAAACTCCCTCGTCGACCATCACGATGTAGTCGGTGAGGCACGAAAAACACCCACGAACCAACCGCACTAGTCATTGAATTCACGTGTAACTGAGAGCATGTGTGACTATAACGTCACTGATCCCTCTTTTCAGTTCCACTGGATCTGGAGTTTCGCCCTGTTTGGGAACTACTGGGAAAGGAAGAATGTACAGACCATCACCTATGTCTACCTCTAGTCTTAGAAACGCTGGCCAAGTAGCCCAGTCTTATAACAAAGGACAGGGCTTAAAATGGTTTCGTAGGGATAATGTCTTGCGTCTTTTCCTCCTCGCCACGTCGTTTTCACTATAGTGCTACCTAACCGTCTCTACCCAAATAGGTTCCGTCCAGTTAGTAGAGAGGTGCAAGGTGTGTTGCAGTTCACCAAATTAGTATCTTCTTGGAGGTTCCGTAAACAGCTCCGTAACGAGCTTTTCCAACTGATTCACGGGCACAGGTAGCGTTGGTTCGATTGTTTAAAGCATTCTCACATGAAACGGGACTGGGATATTTGTCGAAGGTAGACGCCATACTCGACCCTTCTTCTGGGGGTCATCACAGATTTTCCCATCCGCAGCATATGGTCTCATTCCGTTGCGTTAAGGTTTGGTATTCAGTAGTAGGAATCTAAATGGATGTCCTCCAGGATTTGGTTCACTTTTCGCTGCCGCCAGGGTAGCTCTTCCAGTCGTTCATGAAGACGAAAGAAATTACAATTCCAGGACAGAAAGTGTATTGCTGACGTAGGGAACGGCGGGGGGATAACTGGCACGGCCCGAAGACTATGCGAGTGCGCTAAATTACCAAGGCAGAGCCTTAAATGACCTTGAAGTCAAAACGAAGAGTTAAACAAATTGACAGTGTTAAAATCAGCCGTCCATTTGTAAATTTCGGAATATGAATCTAACTTTACTGAATTTAGTGCATATTTCAAATGCGGCCCACTAACACTTAGAGTAGGTGGCGTTCCCTTAGCTCATATCTCATTGGTACAAAATATTCGATAGAGTCATCCCTGAAGACCTCATACAAATTCTAAAGTAGCTTTATCACTGAGACTGAAAGTATAACGCCATGGATGATATAAGCAGCATGTCTTTCGCACTGGGTAGGAACCGGATCGCAGGATACGGAAAAACGCATACTATAGTATCGAAGTCCTCTTTGAATATGTTATAAGGTCCATGAATTGGACAGAGATATCTGGGCATCGAGCAAACATCTTTTTTTGTCACTGCCTTGCAGGCCTACTTCTTTTCGCCAGACTTCATCGAAGAGCTGCCAGCCATGATAGTTGAAATGGAGCATATTTTGGAGGAATTGGTCAAATTTGAGCCCGACTTGGCGGCCCAATTTGCAAAACGCACGGAGGTGCGAGGAAAGACCCTCTTCCAGTTAAAAGATCGTGCGGAACACTTTGCCTCAAACATGCGCGATTTGCCAGAACGGTGGCTCGACTTTGACTCCAAGTAAGAACCTCCTCCCCCCCGTGACACATTCTCTAGCGCCTCACTCCTGAGACCAGGCGTGTCAGCGACAGGCTCGGGGTCACAAATATGCATGCAGTATCCAAACCGTGATGTGTAGCCTCATGTATGGATAGAAAAAACTACACAGCATTACAGTCACCGTCTCAGTAGACGATGATAAATATACACTAATAAATTAGTACGCTTAGCACATTACAATTTACTCACGGCTTAGATCTTTCTATTTTCAGTTCAAATTGGGCAGACTGTATTGTCATGTTTTCTTTTCCTTCTAGACTTGGCGGTCTGGAACAGTGGACGAGCAAGTTGGAAAATCTGGCCACCCGACTCCGCTCGGAGGGTCTGCCGGGTAGTAAAGACATGATGGATCCTAAAGTGGCTGCAGAGATCGCTCAACGATATCGAGACATGCTGAAGAAGTTTGAGGAGATGGTTGACTCCTCCAGTCTCAATATCTCCTTAGCAGAGCGGTTAAACAAGATCCTACAGGAGCTAATTGCCGAGGGCGGTCTTTCGCCTCCCAAAATGGCCAAAAGACGCGCTTCGCTGGCTCACGTGTTAAACAGTCTGCATGACATTGAGACTGTCACGCCCAATGTACTACAGACAGGTTAGATTCAAGTTTATCTGTAGGTTCAGTGATTGCAGGGGAAATAGAACGTGGAGAAGCATATTAGCAAAATCTAGAAGAATTCTGATAGAAACCGTTGTATCGACGTAGACACTTCTTTTTTCCCTAAGGCAAAGAATAATTTTGTAACAGTCAAGTTGTTCCTAAGGTTGCGGAAGTCAAAGGAGTCAATGGACATCCTTTATAAAGCAATATCCCCTGCGCAACTTTATTTTCAGCTAAAAACATGGTTGATTTGCTGGATAAACATGTATCCAAGGCGAGCAAGCAGGATCGCACAAAGCGCTTCAGATCCCACATGGAAGAGATAATGAGCGACCCCACAACACAGACCATCGACTCGGACGAGATGCGTCGCCTATTGGCAGAGCGAGAAGCGCTGATCGCACGGGTCAACGAGAAGAAGGCCTCTCTGGTCTACTTAATGCAAATACCCACTTCCAAAACCACCCACACGTCCCAAATGCCCCCTGTAGAGGAGCGCTTTCTCCAGGTCTGGGAGGATGCCGATCGGATGCTGGAGGAGAAGGCGGCGAACCTCCGAACCGCTACCCAAGCCACTAAGCAGTTCGAAGAGGTGCGAAACCGTCTTTTCAATCTCCTAGGAGAGGCCCAGTTCCTTCTGAAGTGCTCCGCTGGCTCTGCTTACGAATCCAAACTCACTGACGGTGCACCAGTTCGCTCCTATGAGGCATTTGCAACTCTCTCCAACAAGGGTGTTGAGCAGCATGACAACATTGAAAACATTGCGACCTATGGCCCTTCGAAGATTCGTGAACAAACTACTGCAATACAGACACATCTAAAGTCACTGGAGAAGGCAGCGGCGGATATCACGAAGCTGCGCGGGGCTGCAGACCTAATTGCTGAACAACTGGGTCCTGAAAAGTCGGCTGAGCTTGAGTCGATTATTAACCAACTGGAAAGGGATATGGCTCTCACGAAATCTGCCCTGGAGGAACGACTAACAGCTCTGAAGTTGGCGGATTCACGATGGGCGAATATTCATGAGCACGCTCAGCAGTTGGAGGAATCCCTAGGAGCGCAGGAAAATACACTCGCAGACTTACGATTGCATATTGAAACCGCTTCTCTAGAAAACTGCGATGATACTGTCAGTGTATGCGATGCTTATCGAAAGTACCTAGAGACATGTGCTCAAGATTTGAGGAAACTTCAGTCAGACGCGGCAAGTTTGGGATCGGAGATAGGCGATGTAAATTCCACGTTGGCTGGAATGTTGACGATGGAGAGGGTGGACGAAAATGGCATCATCGTGAAGGAGGTACCAGAGTTCGTCGATCCTGAGGTCACAGCTGTTCAAAAGAATATGAACGCTCTTCTCCTTCGCCAAAAGGGAATCAACAATGCTTGCCTTTCACTAGAACAAATAATTACTTCAACACTAGCAGCTCTTGAGGAGTACTCAAAGTTAAGTGGATCTGTAGAGACTTATTTGAATCGCGTGGAGGCTGCTCGTGATATGAAATATGCCTTTTCTGACCTCGAAGAGGTGATGGCGGTTAAGGGGCAATTGAATTCTCTGTTAACCCTGAGACAGGCGGAGATTGATAGCGCTACCTGGAGGATGCGTGAACTTTCCCCATTCTTGAAGAAAGTTCCACAGACTGCTGTAAGTACTTGTAATAAAAGCGATTTTTATGCACAAGGCGTGTTCAAGTCAAATTGGGACTCTTGAGGTGCAAACGAAAGGAACAAGGTAGAACGCGTTGAATTTATTTACGATTCCACATAGTCTGCTGGCATGTCTTTACACTTATGTTAGCTTTTGTTTAGCAACTGAAAAGCAGCTTCCTTATGGCAAGATTTGTCAGTACGTCTGAATCACCTTGGAACAGCTCGGTTACTCAGCAGATGCTAGTCCTTCAGTTTTACAGATGTTCGTAAATGAATGGGTTTACCAGTCGTTCCCAAATAGCATCGTTTCTTGAGCATTTACACAATAGGACAGATTGGTCGGATGTCGATCTGGCCATGGTAGAATGTTCACAAGAATGATCGCTAAGATTAGACTGAGAATAGAACTGTCACTACTGGCATTGTCCAGATTCTAATGTTTCATTGCAATGGAGCGTTTAGTTGCAGTATTATGTTTTAAGTCTCCCAAACGAATGACTGTTGGTAGAATGGGGACTTTCATCTTTCACGGGAGACTTCACTCATCACCGTGTTCTGTGGCATTTACGCACTAACACTGCTAGCTCCCATCTTGGTGGACGGTACGCTAATAGGACGCACCTATCATGTATTACTGCGTGCAGCACAACACCCATGATGTCCCTTTCCGAAATGAACACTCCTCGTGCTTGCTATTCAAGGGCAGTGTACCCAGAAAAATAGTTGTAAAATTGAATCAGTTGTCTATTATATTACTACGGTTTGCTGTCGTGCTTATATGCAATTTTACATAGGCTGCAGACGCTAAACTGTCACAAAGTCTGGAGGCAGCTGATGGGTGGTTGTCGACGCGGGCTTCGTATATAGACGCCCTCACCACTGATTGGTGCATGTGGTCCAATGAGATGGATAAGATCTCAGCAGAGCTGCAGCAATTGGCTGATAATGTGGAGCGCGTGGACACAGACGCTGCCGTGGACATAACGCAGCGTGCCAACCAGGCAGCGCGTCAATTGGAGCAGGTGCAACTGCTGAGGGCACGTTGGAAGGCTCTGCGGCCACAGACAGAGGCAGTGATAACCCTCCTCTCGGGTGGCTCCAGGGGCAGCCAACTCACCATGGAGTCGGCACATCACGTCGTCCCACAGCGTTACACTATGGTGGGGGATCAGTTACGAGACCTCTTCTCAATTCTGCAAGATATGAGTACCAAGTTGGAGGGGGAGTTTGATGCACAGGACAAGTTTACTAACGATGTGGAGCGACTCGTCCACATGGTTTCCGTGGCTGAGAAGCGGCTAGGCAAGGTCACTGGAATCTGGATTCCCTCGGCACCCACTCTTCTGGCCCAAGTCACTCAACCCATCTCCCAAATTCATGTTGGTAGGTCCTTTCGGAGTTTCAATTAATAACCGTTTTGTGTTTTCGCTCCAAACTGTCAAATATTTTGACCTAAATTTATCCACCCATTTGAGTCATGCATTTGAGCATACAACTGAATGGGGTTACGTAAATTTGAAACGAAGTGAACGAACACCGGTTAGCATGAGGTATGGGAGCACCATGTCACAGCTACCGGGAGAAAGTGGGAGGGAAAAAACCACCCTTAAGCACGCCCGTGCGGCCATGCTTGCCTGCGTGTGGTGTCGCGGCAGCATTGCACGAATGGGCGGAGTACAGGAAGTGAGTGTAAACCCATGCATGTACGAGCATCCCAGCTTGTGATGCTCTCCGGAACCACTTCACTCACGCATAAACACATACGTATGCAACCC